CCAAGGCCGCGTTCATCCCCTTGCGGATCGTGTCTGTGGGGAGTTCTTCACGACGCCGTTACACGCTAACGGCAGGCGGTTCCCCCCGGTGTCCCTGGCCCCATCGTTGCCATGAGTACATCCATGTTCCTGAAGAACCGTCCCAGCCCCTGGCAGTGCTGGGACACCCCGGGAGCTGCCGGGGGGGGTGGCCTGCCTGCCTTCCCCGGGCTTGCTGCTTTGTGTTGAGTAGAAAAGAGGAGGCAATTGTTCACACGCCAGATGCAAAGTACTGCATCACCCTAGCTGGATTCTGGCTCCTACGGACCCTGTCCAAACAAAAGCCTTTTATCCCCTGTGCTCTTTGTTCTGCTAAGAACTGTAATGGTTGTCAGAACTGGATTCCTGTGTGCTCGCAATTACAGGCCATCTGAAAATCATAAAAAGGTAATAATTTAGTTTACCTTTTGGTTTTGAAGTTGGGCCATGGCTAAAAATGTAGGGTTATTTGAAAATTAATGACCCTTCTTCCCATTTCTTGCCTTCAGAAATATTTATGCCTTAACTGTTCTACATTGACCATGTACAAATGGTGCAAAAATACTGAAAATTACGTTTTTTCAGGTATTTCTTAATCTTATATTGGGCTTTTTTTTTTTTGCCGTTTAGAATTTCCAGCTCCCTGTTAATGTGAAAAAGTGCTGTTTCTACACAGGCCAGAAATGCTGTCTTTCCGGCTAAATAAGTCTCAGTTATAACTGAGTAGAGGTTGGTCTTTGCAAAATATTTTACACGCAGAAGTAACATTTTGGCGAATAAAGTGTTTCAGCAAGGAGTCAGTAGTGTAATTCACTTATTTTTAAATATGATTCCCGTTTTTCTTTATGACTCAGTCAAGCAAGGGATGTCATACATACTGCCTTACTTACTATCCAAAGACAGAGGTGAAGTTAACTGACAGCAGAGGAGGGTTTAGCACAGTCAAAAAAAACCCCGGCAAAATGCTGTTCATCGATACCAAATTGTAGCTGAGGCTTACATTTCAAGCATTGTATTCTGCACACTCTGAAGAGGAACTTGCGGCCCTATCTATATTTAGTTACTGATAAGTGATAATACTAATGGAATCTTACCTAGTTCCAAAACCCCTCTCAGGTTTGATTAATACATTTCATTTGTCCGTGCTTCCTACTTAGAGAGATGTAAACATGTAGCAGCTTTTTTCACTAGAGGATTTATTGATTTTTTTTTAATAATAAGCATCAAGTATAAGTGCAAACTGAGGTTCAAGATGCACTGTATAGTATGGAATATAATTATGGATATATTCGATATAAACCCACATTTTTGTTATAAGTAAAACATGCTACAATAATAAGCTATGCTGAATTGTTCTATAAGTATGCTTAATATTGCATGTATATTTTGAAAAAAACACATATTTTAATGACATACAGAAATGATAGGCTACAGAACCCAGTAAAAGCAGTAATTTCATCTTCCAGAATTTGCAGTTATTATTTTTGCTGGAATAGTAAGTACAGCATGGCATTTTAATTCAATTTTTTTTCTGAAAATGAAAATTGCAGTTCTTGAACTTCTTTAGCCAAAGGAATTTGATGAACTTCAGGATAAACTCCAGTCAGTCTGAGTATTTCTAAGTGATTATTTTCTTTATCTTTGTGAATTCATGTGTTTGTGAGAGGATATGCAATGAAGGATCACTGCTTGCAGAGAGGGAATCTTCCACTTCTGGAACGCCTCCAGGAACCTGTGCAATTTCACTGCTTCCTACTGGTACCATGCTGGGTTTTTTTTCATGCTGTTTTTTTTTCAATCACTTCTAAAGAGCCCAAAGCTTTAAAGTCTGTGTGTCACCTTTCCTTCTTAGAATACTGCCTCAACATGTATTATTGATAAATGCCACTTTTGTGGATTAAATGTCTCAGAATGTCACATGCATCTTTTTTGGTTGTCTAAAAATTATTGACTAACTATTAATTTTCTCTGAAGTTCAGTTATTTATGAAAAAGCTGTGAGTTGCATTGAAATTTCCAGGCAGGAACCTGGAATTCTGTTGCTGTCTGTTTTCAGTCTTAGACACTCAAGGACAGTCAAAACAATAATACAATCTAAAAGTACAGAACTTCGTACTTAGTATTTATTATTTTATCACATTTCAGTGCTGTCTTGTCTTTTTGGTCAGCAGTTACAGTTGTCACCAGATCCTTTAGATACCTGTCCCATTCATATTCATCTTGCTGAATATTAAATTAGGTGCTGTTAAATTAGATGTGTAGTAGGGAGTGGTGTCTTTAAAAATTGTTAACATATTACTAGTTTCTCCCCCTTTGAATAGATAAGGAGTGAAAATAGCCTATCATCTTGATGGGTATATAGTAAACTTAATAATACTTATTTTTAATATTAGATTTTAAAATACTGACCTTGACCTTTTCAAAACTTACATTAACTGTACAGTTAAATTTTGTATGAAAAAAAAATTAAAACTTTGCTAGAGAAATGTATACAATTTCTTTATGTTGGTTGGTCTTAATTCTTTCTTCCTTGGTACGTAAAGTATGCTGTAAAATACGAGCGTTTAAGATTTCTCTTTGTTGAAGTCCTGCTATCTAGTAAGACATGCTATCCAAGGTGGGAGAAGGCTAAGTGACAAAGGTAATGTTCTCTTGAAGAACAATTTATTTCTCGTAAGATACCTGCTAAAAACTACTAAGAATTAATTTTTTTTTTTAATTGGTGAAAAACTGCTATAGAGAGAGTGCTGTAGCACAGCTATATTGTGCTTTGAGATAAAGCAGATTGTTAAAGAATTTCTTCCTTATATCTAGTCTAAACCTACCCTGGTTTAGTTTAAAACCATTACCCCTTGTCTTGTCACAGCTGGCCCTACTAAAAAGATTTTCCCCACCTTTCCTATAGGCCCCCTTTAGGTATTGAAAGGCCGCAATCAGGTCTCCCCACAGCCTTCTCTTCTCCAGACTGAACAAGCCCAACTCCCTCAGCCTGTCCTCATAGGAGAGGTGCTCCAGCCCCCGGATCATTTTTGTGGCCCTCCTCTGGACCCGCTCCAACACTTCCATGTCCTTCTTGTGCTGAGGGCTCCAGAGCTGGACGCAGTACTCTAGGTGAGGCCTCACCAGAGCAGAGTAGAGGGGCAGAATCACCTCCCTCGACCTGCTGGCCACGCTTCTCCCGGATGCAGCCCAGACTACCAAATAAAGGTTGAGTTTAGATTGATTTTACCAGCAGCATTGGTAGAGGAGAAAACACAGGGAGGTTATTTGCACTGTCTGAATGCATACCTGCCTCACGTAAGATTGGTGTCCCTTCTGCTGGGAACAGTCTTGGGCTTCAGTCCCATTACAAAGGTTTTGTCATGTTTATTGTCAGGCAGCCTGGCCCTAACATGCTTTTTCTGACAAAGTGCTAACTTACATATACCCGATACCTGGGTATTCTCAATACTTTCACAAAACAACATCCCCTAGTTACAAAGTCACATATATATACATATATATTTTTATCTTAGTATTATAAAGTGATGAAAATGGTTTGGTGTAAGTCTTCTCTAGTGTCAGTCTGTACCCTGTGTCCTCATCGGGTGTTCATGCTCCATTCTTACTACATAGGCCCTTGCCCTCCCTTGTTTAATAAATTTTCCTCTGTTGTTCACTTAGAATTAATTGCACATCTTATACCATTCTCAATTTCATTAGCATATTTAAACTTCTGTAACCATTTTATCTGTCAGTCACAGCTCCTAAGGCTATTTTGACTTTCAGCGGAAGTGTTTGTAAATACATGTACTGTATATGAGTATGTTCTGATCAATGCTCTGGTGAGAGCTACAGTGGACCCTGCACAAACAAAAATTCATCCCTGCTCAAGGTTCACTCTGCAGTTCTGCTTCCTTTGCTGTTTCAAATCTAGTGGAATGGATGTGAACAATATTGCTAGGAGGCACACTGCAGTGGTTATGATTTTAATGTATGCCTATTGAGATATTCTGAAAATGGCTGTCCTGGATGGTTTTGGACTCCTGTATAAGTTTAACAGTATGCTGTGTTTACAGTCTCTTAGTGTAGTATCTAGGATTCAACAAATATCTAGTTTATGAAATTGATACTCAGAAGGGCAGCTGGACTTCCGGGAGGATAAGTATAAACAAATAAATTACGCATTTCAACTTCTTCCACATACAGAATTATAAGTACATCTAAGAAGGATTGTTGATGGCACCAACTAAAAAAAAAAATCTTTATGTTATGTCTTATAACTATCTTTGGAAAGGGAACATTAGCATTGGTGAAGTAAAAATAAATCCTCTGGAAATTCAGTGGGTGTTTTTGCAGTTGTTTGCTTGGTATACAAGTATTAAGATAAGTTAAACATTTTCTTGTAGCTTTTTACCAATAGATGAGGTACTACTAATGGGAGTGTGTGTATATCTCATATTTTGACTATGGGCATATCAGACTCCTCAGTGCGGTTACCTGGCATCTGGGTCAACAAGCTCATTATGTCTAGGCTGTTCCATCCCTTACTGTCTTGGGAAAAGCACAGTGTTAAAACAGAGGGGTCTTGTGAACAGCAGCACTAATGAGGTCTGGGTCCTTATTAGTGGACTTTGTGACAGACCATAAGAATGCTCTTGCCCTCAGAGCTCCCAGGTGGTCCCTTAGTTCATCTGCTGTAATGACCAAAATCACCTTACCATCCCCAGCCACCTCCTGTTCAACTGCTAGCTGCTTTGTGGCCATACACAGGCTGGCCATTTCTTGCTGCTTAACTATCAGGTGTGCAGAATGGCTTGCCCCTCAACCGGAGATCTGTACAGATAGCTTTGAGAGGTACGTATATCTCCCCAGGCATGTATTATGTGGGGTTAACCTTAATAACTTTGAAGTCTGTGTCAAATTTCACTGTAATGGCCAGTGGGCCACTTGTCTGACGTGACTTTCAAGCAGAAAAACAGGGCAAATGTATTAACTTTAAGGTGGTTTGCTTTTGGAGGATTTTTTTTTTTAGAAAACCAGGCTAATAGCTAAACAGGCATTTGTCAGTGTAAGATGTGCAAACATTCAGTATGCGAGCAGACAGGTTTTGTCAAATGGTAGGGTAGTTTGAATTTGGTCACATCAGAGGACACATTTGATCTCACCACAGGCAATACCCAGTCACATAGCCCAGTGCTCCAGGTCTGATGCATCACGTTACAGGAGATGCTGGAAGGCTGGTTGTGTGACAAGTGACAGTGGATCAGATGATGGAAAATGGCTTGAGTGTATAGCCTTTGCCTGCCGTGATAAGAAGCCATATGTTAAGACATAAAAGTAGGAGATCCTGACTCTAATGAACCTCTACTGGAGTTTGGTTCTTGGTAATCCACATAAAGACAGACTTTGTAACGGGAATCCTGTGGGAGTAAATGGAGCAACTATAAGGAAGCTCATTGCCCAGCTTTCCTGAACTCCAGATCTAGGCAACATATGTCTGTACCCCCTATGTTTTCTACCCTTTTGTCAGTAACTTGATCAAATATTTATAACTATTGATTAATTCATATGGCTTACTAGAAGAATGTATGAAATAATTATAAATGCTAGTTGGCCTTGTTTAACATATGAAGTTTTAGCTGAATTGTGTCGTGCTTTAACCCCAGCTGGCAACTAAGCCCCACACAGCTGCTCGCTTGCTCCCCCCTGGTGGGATGGGGGAGAGAATCCAAGGAGTAAAAGTGAGAAAACTCATGGGTTGAGATAAAGACAGTTTTAATAGGGAAAGCAAAAGCCACATGTGCCAGCAAAGCAAAGCAAGGAATTCATTCACTGCTTCCGGTCAGCAGGCAGGTGCTCAGCTATCTCCAGGAAAGCAGGGCTCCATCACGCATAACTGTGACTTGGGAAGAGAAAATGCCATCATTTCAAACATTCCCCCCTTTCTTTCTTCTTCCCCCAGTTTATATACGGAGTATGATGTCACATGGTGTGGGATATCCCTTTGGCCTGTTGAGGTCAGCTGTCCTGGCTGTGCCCCCTCCCAGCTTCTTGTGCACCCCCAACCTACTTGCTGCTGAGGTGGGGTGAGGAGCAGGAAAGGCCTTGACTCTGTGTCAGCACTGTTCAAAACTAAATAAAATATCCACATGATCTTTCCATTACCAACCAAAAACATAGCCTCGTACTAGGGACTATAAAGAAAATTAACCCTATCCCAGCCAAAACCAGCACAATTGTTAAGGTATTTGGGAGGGCTCCAAAATCATCAAGAGATGCGGTAAAGTGGTAAATTAGTACCAAAATTATCAAATAAAGCAGGAATTGGCTACTAGGGAGATGAGAATCAAATCTTTTAATATCTATTTTTAGTGGAGGGGAGGGGAGGATGAATTGGGCTTAGCCATAGCACAATATTCATTAGTATCTTCCTTAATGATGGACAAAACCACTAGAGGTACACTGCTGAAATTTGCTTTTAATAGAAAATAAGGAGACATTGCTATTACAGGTTAGGATTAGCATGCAGTGGATGACCTACAAATTGGAGTAGTGAGACACTGATGAGTTCTTAACCATAACACTGTAGAACAACTCTGATATCAGTAAAAGAAATATGAGATCAAACTGGAGTGAATGAAGAGAAAATTGCAAGAAGTAGTAAGGTAAACAAAACCTCAGTCTTGTAAATGGACCTTGGAAAGTTTGACAGTTGTTCATTCTAATAAAAGTTGAGAGAAGATATCAACAGTCTTGACAATTGGGAGTGAATAAATATACAAAGGAAAATCAAGTCAAATGACAATTTTGACAGAAGAACAAATATACGTACGCATTAATAGATTAGTTGTGTAATTAAAAGGTTTGCACTCTTGGCACCAGTGTACTGGGATCTTCTTTCTGTGTAAATAGTGGTGGTAAAAGAAAACTTTCTGAAACATAGATTGCTTTTATGAAAGTGATTATATGATCTTTGCCTAAAATAGCAGAGACGGACTTGATAACATTAGCTGTATTCATTATACAAAGATAAATATTACTGAAGTTGGTAATTTTACCTACAGAAAGCAAGTAGTACGTCAGACCTCGCTATAGAAATTGCGTGTAAAAGCAGAAACACATCTACTATCTATTACCAATTCCAGAATTTTGTGAAAAGGTTTACATTTCCTTTAGAAGAAATGTTACTTCACATGATGCCAAATAAACCTTGAAATTCACCTACTTTTTTTTTAAGTTTCATTCAAATGTGGGAAACTAATTTTACTGGAACAACTCTACTTTTGAAGATTCAGTCTTGAGGAACAGGCTTTTAAATTCATAAGAAAAGGGTATTCTAGAGAATTCTAACATACAAAAAAACTTTATGATTTGTGGAAGTTGGGGTTTATGAGGCCATACATGATCAGAATAAATGGTGGTCTTGTTCTTCTGTATTTTCCTAGTTCCTCAGGCTTAGAATGGAA